TCTTGTGTGTATTCACCTAGTTGTGCTTGAGGGGGGTTGAGCTGTGCTCTTTCGGCCCGCCTCTCAACTGTCACTCAATCAACGATTTTTTTCACACACACACATCCCCAGGAAGCAGCCCGTGACAGCTGATTAACTCCCAGGTACCTATTTACTGCTGGTTAGAAGGCGACATCAGAGTGAAAGAAACTCTGCCCATTTGTTTCCCGCCATCGCCGGGGATCAAACCCGGTCCCCAGTATGACGAGACATGAGTGCTGTCCACTCAGCCACCAGGCGCCCGATGTATGTATACACTATAACCATCTTAGTATCTTAGTAACCGTCTTAGTATCTTAGTAACCGTCTTAGTATCTTAGTATCCTTCTTAGTATCTTAGTAACCATCTTAGTAACTTAGTAACCATCTTAGTAACTTAGTGACCATCTTAGTATCTTAGTAACCGTCTTAGTATCTTAGTATCCTTCTTAGTATCTTAGTAATCATCTTAGAAACTTAGTAACCATCTTAGTAACTTAGTGACCATCTTAGTATCTTAGTAACCATCTTAGTATCTTAATAACCATCTTAGTATCTTAGTAACCATCTTAGTAACTTAGTGACCATCTTAGTATCTTAGTAACCATCTTAGTAACTTAGTGACCATCTTAGTATCTTAGTAACCATCTTAGTAACTTAGTGACCATCTTAGTATCTTAGTAACCATCTTAGTATCTTAGTAACCATCTTAGTATCTTAGTAACCATCTTAGTATCTTAGTAACCATCTTAGTATCTTAGTAACCATCTTAGTATCTTAGTAACCGTCTTAGTATCTTAGTAACCATCTTAGTAACTTAGTAACCGTCTTAGTATCTTAGTAACCATCTTAGTAACTTAGTGACCATCTTAGTATCTTAGTGACCATCTTAGTAACCATCTTAGTAACTTAGTGACCATCTTAGTATCTTAGTGACCATCTTAGTATCTTAGTAACCATCTTAGTATCTTAGTAACCATCTTAGTAACTTAGTAACCATCTTAGTACCTTAGTAACCATCTTAGTATCTTAGTAACCATCTTAGTAACTTAGTAACCATCTTAGTATCTTAGTAACCATCTTAGTATCTTAGTAACCATCTTAGTTTCTTAGTAACCATCTTAGTATCTTAGTAACCATCTTAGTAACTTAGTGACCATCTTAGTATCTTAGTAACCATCTTAGTGTCTTAGTAACCATCTTAGTATCTTAGTAACCATCTTAGTATCTTAGTAACCGTCTTAGTATCTTAGTAACCGTCTTAGTATCTTAGTAACCATCTTAGTATCTTAGTAACCATCTTAGTATCTTAGTAACCGTCTTAGTATCTTAGTAACCATCTTAGTAACTTAGTAACCGTCTTAGTATCTTAGTAACCATCTTAGTAACTTAGTGACCATCTTAGTATCTTAGTGACCATCTTAGTAACTATCTTAGTAACTTAGTGACCATCTTAGTATCTTAGTGACCATCTTAGTATCTTAGTAACCATCTTAGTATCTTAGTAACCATCTTAGTATCTTAGTAACCGTCTTAGTATCTTAGTAACCATCTTAGTATCTTAGTGACCATCTTAGTAACTTAGTAACCATCTTAGTATCTTAGTAACCATCTTAGTGTCTTAGTAACCATTTAAGTATCTTAGTAACCATCTTAGTATCTTAGTAACCATCTTAGTATTTTAGTAACCATCTTAGTGTCTTAGTAACCATCTTAATAACTTAGTAAACATCTTAGGAATTTTGTGACCATCTTAGTATCTTAGTAACCATCTTAGTATCTTAGTTTAGAAGCTTTTCCGGAAGCTTCTTAAGTCTTCCAGAAGTTTGTAAAATCTTTCAGAAGTTTCATAAATCTTCTAAATTCTAAACCCTTCTTAAATCTTCCAGAAACTTCTTAAATTTTGTAGAAGCTTCTGAAAGGTGTCGGAAGATTTTCAAATCATCCAGAAACTTAAAAAAAAATCAGAAACTTCCTAAAGATATTCAAATCTTCCAAAAGCTTTGCAAATCATCCACAAACTTCTTAAATTGCCCAAATATTTCTTAAATTCTCCAAATGTTCCTTAAATCTTCCAGAAGCGCCTTAAATCTTCAAGAAGCTTCTTAAATCTTCCAGAAACTCCTTAAACCTCAGCTTCCAGGTGATAAGAAAGCAGTTCCACAATACATGAACATGATATATTTTTCCCAAATTTCTAGGAAATGAATGAATCAATTAGTGAAGTTTAAAATTCTCAGAGCAACATTTTCATCTCTCTCTCTATCTCTCTCTCTCTCTCTCTCTCTCTCTCTCTCTCTCTCTCTCTCTCTCTCTCTCTCTCTATCAGTTCGTTGTATTCTTCAGCAGTCTTCTCAATCCTATTTCCTTCGCAAATAAAACCTGTCTATAAGCTTCAATTCACCTCAAAATTAAATTTCAATATAACTTGTGGAATTTTGAAAACTATTTTTTTAAGTATATCACTAAATTGTGGAGAAATTGGATTTTCGGAATATCTTATCATTATTACCCTGATGTGAGTTGGTCGATCCTAGTGCCAATTACTGTTCTATTAGGTTATTACTGCCGCTCCACTATCATCCCTCCTTTCATCATGAGCGCGTGATAACTCATCAAAATTATTCTCTGAGCGCGTGGAAACTAACATTTCTGAGCCCTGAGCGCGTGGAAGCCTCTACACTGAGCCTTGAGCGCGTAGAAGCTTCTACACTGAGCACTGAGCGCGTGGAAGCCTCAACACTGAGCCTTGAGCGTGTGGAAGCCTCTACAATGAGCTCTGAGCGCATGGAAGCCTCTACACTGAGCCCCTGGAAACCTCTATCACTGAGCCCTGAGCGCGTGGAAGCCTCTTCACTGAGGACCGAGCCCCTGGAAACTTTTATCATTGAGCCCTGAGCGCGTGGAATCCTTTACACTGAGATCGGAGCGCGTGAAAGCCTCTACACTGAGCCCTGAGCGCTGTACAAACACCCACACTGTGTTCAGGGGCTCCCAACCCGCCCTGGCAGCGCTCTGGCCTGGGGTGGGAGGCAGCTTCCGACGCCCCGAGGACATCCCGGGGCCCAATTTATCAATTATCTATCGCAAAGGAGCAGGGGGGGAGGGAATTATCAGGGGAAAGCTCCAAGCCATTACGACTATATAGCACTTGGAAGGGGTCAGGATAAGGATTTGGAATGGGACGGGGGAAGGAATGGTGCCCAATTTACCAGGGTTGAGGGTAAGTGAGAAGGGAAGAATAAAAGAGGTGAATAGGAAGAGGAAATAGGTATAAAAGTGGAAGGAAATAGGTAGAGGGAAGGATCTACGACGTTGAGGTGAGAGGAGGGGTGAGTAAGTGAAGGTGGGGAGGGGGGGGACAGGAGTGTAGTGGATATTTTTTAGTGTGGGGGTTATGTGGTAGAGTAGGGAAGGAGTGTGGGGGAGATACTTGGTTGTGTGGGGGTTGAGGGGGTGGGAGTGGGGTGGATATATGGTGTTGTGGGGGGAACTTGTGACCGGAGATCTGCCGTGACACCCCAGCTCAGGTAAAGACACCTGGTGTGTAAGTCATGGGTAATAAAAGGAGCCAGAGAAAATAAAAACACACAGAGCAGGCCAAGGAAATACAAAATTAACATTAACAAATAAAACAGCAATAGAAAGGTCGTGTAAATAAAGACTCACACCAAAGAAAATGCTAATAATGGGGAAAACAATTATATTTTCAATGACGATAAAAATATAACTGAAAGGAAAACAAGAAAAAGGTGGCATGGGATGACTTGTCTGTATTCACAGCTAGCAACTGACGACAAAAAATCCTTCACTGGCACGAAGAACACAGCATAGTACCCCCGTGATCTCTGTCGTCCAAATTACCTATTAAGATTTCTGTTGCAGAAAGTGTTATTCACTTCCACCGTGTCAGGACAAGTCCACTACGGGCTCGCCATAGCCTGTGCTTCCTGGAACTTTTCGTTCCAGGTGGCGAATCTTAAACAACAACAACACCGTCAGGTCATTTGCTACTATAACGTGAGGCAGGAGCCCAGACAACACGTGTCTCTGTCACTAATTCTTGAGATGATTTCGGGGCTTTTTAGTGTCCCCGCGGCCCGGTCCTCGACCAGGCCTCCACCCCCAGGAAGCAGCCCGTGACAGCTGACTAACTCCCAGATCCCTATTTACTGCTAGGTAACAGAGGCATTCAGGGTGAAAGAAACTTTGCCCATTTGTTTCTGCCTCGTGCGGGAATCGAACCCGCGCCACAGAATTACGAGTCCAGCGTGCTATCCGCTCGGCCGACTGGCTCCCAGGTACCGGCTTGTACCTGTCAACCCGAGCGTCAACTCTTGGGCCCCGGCTTTTCAGGCGCTGGATATCTACCACAATAGTGAACAACCTCTCTACATTTCAGTCCCATCTACATTTAAACCTCTGTATGGCATTATCTTCAACTACCCTCTTCTCTGGGTCATTACATTTATTCGCAAATATTTGTTTAAATAAATGTTCCACCACATTCATACGAGTCGTCTGTCTCTGTAGCTTCCATCCCCTTCCCCTCCTTCTGCTGCTACGCTTTCTATTTTCTTCGTCTTTATCTTCTTTATCAATGCCCTATAGGATCTTATACGTCGCAATCATGTCTTCTCTTTGTCATCTCTTATCTATTGTATTAAGATTCAACTCCTTCCGTCTTTGCTCGTACTCCACCCTACTTAATTCTGGGGCCAACCTTGAGGTATACCTCTGAGTCTTCACCAGTTTTATCTTGTATTTCTTTAGATCCGGGCTCCACGAGGGAGCTCTACGAGGGAGCTCTACAAGAGAGTTCTACAAGGGAGCTCTACGAGGGAGCTCCACGAGGGAGCTCCACGAGGGAGCTCCACGAGGGAGCTCAACGATGGAGCTCCACGAGGGAGCTGTACGAGGGAGCTCCACGAGGGAGCTGTACGAGGGAGCTCCACGATGGAGCTGTACGAGGGAGCTCCACGATGGAGCTCCACGAGGGAGCTGTACGAGGGAGCTCCACGAGGGAGCTGTACGAGGGAGCTCCACGATGGAGCTCCACGAGGGAGCTGTACGAGGGAGCTCCACGAGGGAGCTCCACGAGGGAGCTGTACGAGGGAGCTCCACGAGGGAGCTGTACGAGGGAGCTCCACGAGGGAGCTGTACGCGGGAGCTCCACGAGGGAGCTGTACGAGGGAGCTCCACGAGGGAGCTCCACGAGGGAGCTCCACGAGGGAGCTCCACGAGGGAGCTCCACGAGGGAGCTCCACGAGGGAGCTGTACGAGGGAGCTCCACGAGGGAGCTGTACGAGGGAGCTGTACGAGGGAGCTCCACGAGGGAGCTGTACGAGGGAGCTGTACGAGGGAGCTCCACGAGGGAGCTGTACGAGGGAGCTCCACGAGGGAGCTCCACGAGGGAGCTCTACGAGGGAGCTCTACGAGGGAGCCGGATACAGGTTACACATTGCTTGTATGCAATGCCATATCCCCCTTAATGTCAAGATTTCTCTAAGTTACTCAGATGTTTCCAGGTTTGGGGAGTTCATACCTGCTTCTAAATTCTTTACTTTTTCATATTCTGAGATCTGCCTTCCTCTCAATGTGGGGTGTTCTTGTGATCTGACTTCCTCCCCTACTCTCTATACCTTACAATACTTTTGGGGGGGATGAAGTCAATCAGACATCTTTCATTTCATTCCTGCAGTTTGTCCAATTCGAATCTCTATATTCTTGTTACGGCCACGATGGGTCGCAACCGGGTTCTTTGCTGGAGGAACTAAAGTACTAGTATCCGACCCCAAGTCAGTAGTGGCTTTCAAGGAGTGAGCTTGGTAATGCAAGTAAAATACAATGGGGGAGTTGAAAGGAATACGACACTTCATCAGTTATCAATATATTCATATATCACTTTCCCATCATCTTAAATAGAATCATAAACGAAGTATTACTAAACTGATATATACACGTGTGTCGCTCTCATAGGACACTAAGCGCTCCTCGATGCTCATGCGATGCAGCCTTGTCAACTTCCGTGTTTCCTCAACACACAGTACCGTCCTCAACCAGTAACAGGAAACACCCACGAGTCTACCCTGGCCACGGGCCAGCCTATACACAGCCTCACTAGGTGCTCCTTGTGAACGCCCGCAATCACTCTCCAGCCTGGTGATGGCAGAGAACATCAGCCTCGCGCTGCTGGGCCTCTACACGAACAAATACAAGGGTAGCGAACCCCTGGCAGGAGCTTCTTGCAACTAGCTAGTTACACTCCTCCGTAGCACCTTACTGTCGGTCGTCTCTTCCTCTAGCCAATCCCGGGATACGCCGAATTCTGTCACTGCCACTTCACAGGCAGACAGCAGATAATGCTCAGTTTCTCTTCGACGGCGGCTCACTGCTCACGTAAAGCAGAATGGAGTAGAGAGATAATAGGCTGCCCTGGGTAGACTGCCTGTCTTCGTACCACAGCAGCCCTACGTCGCCTCTGTGGATTCAGACACGTCCTCAGTAAACTGGCCAGTACTTGGGACACTAGGAAATACAACTTGCGGACTCTGATATTGACATACACCTCCTCCCACAATAGATGGCGCTGATTTTCTAGGCGCCACCTCACCAGAGGTCAGCAACAGCGACCCATCTAGTCTCTAGCAGGAATCTAGTCTCTAGCAGGTATCATACCGCCACCACCAGGTGGCGTCGTCCATTTTGTGGGGGTTTAGGGAGCAGACTCACAGATGGCGTTGACGTCGCTGCTCCATTCACCGACGATGAAGATGCTGAGCAACCTGTACAGGGCTCGTAACAATTCTGCATTCTTTCTCTGTTCTATTTGTTGACCGCGTTTTTGCATCTTCCGCAAACATGGAGATAAGAGTCCACTTCGTCGGTTAGATCATTAACTTAACATAAGAGAAGAATGGGTCACAATATTGATCTTTGTTCAATTGGTCACTACTTCATCACAATATTTATCTTCTATCTTACTTTTTGCC